TCCTCGCCCTTGTGAGCCGTCTCTTCTCAGTGCTCAGTTCACATCACTGTTAGCAAACCACTAATTTTGAACTACATTTTCCACTTTTCGTAGATACCACTGGTCCGCAGGTGTCACTGATTGTTACATTGGAAACACAAGTCTTTTTAGGCCTAAAATAAGTCAGTCTTTATTTTTGTCTAACTCACACTACCATTATATAAAAGCTGTTTTGTAATGTTTGTGAGTGAGTTCCATGGAGTGTTTTGCAGCTAAAACATTGCATTGATATTCAAAGTGTAGCTGGAGAATCAATTAATTCTCATCCAAAGAGAAAATCAAGATCCTGATCTTAAGAAAAACCTCCAACTCCTGTCGAGAAAGAGCGAGACGTAAATGCTTTGAGGCACCAGATGAACGGGTGATGGGATGAGTTTGACACGATGACATGAACGCTGTAAGGTCATATGCAGGATAATCCATATCCATCTCAGGCTGCCACCTGCATCTTGCTGTATACTATGAATAAATTAGCATTACCATGGAAACTTAAAACTGTACAAAACACTCATAAAAACACGATGATTACATGCCTCAGTATTCCAGCTAAGCTTGGAAAAAACCCTGCTATTATAAGCAACTTTTGCACAATTGCGATACGAAATATCACAATTACACACAACACTTTACATGTACATTATACTTGAATATTAATGCACATGTAATTAACCGTGGAACAGAAAGAATGGAGGAGCATATACAAATATAACATGATATATAAGGACTTAAGACATACTGACGATACCTACACGTTATAGACACATTGCTCATACATTCATATATGTCAACACTTAAATATGTATATACAGTATACATGTATATATTCATATGTATACAGATATATCAAAGGAGGAATAAATAGTGCCATTAATGAGGTGAGACAACCTAGTTTCCATTTTCCTCTCTAGTGAGACGACTATCCCCTTGGAATTATGCTAACATGCCCCCGGCCGTTTGTTCAGGAGGAATATGCAATCTGATGTGTGGGACATAGTGGCTGAACTACTGGCACAAACTGAAGCGATGCTGGTAGTCATCCAGCTCAACAGTTCTGACTTTCCATCTCAAACCGCCTACACTCCCTCGTTCTCACACTTTTTATGGGAATTTGTCTCAAAAAAAAAAACTGGAGTGACCTGGTGCAGGTTTTAAAAACACTCCATCACTGTATTTCCTGGCACTAGGTCTAGTTTACAGCATTATGCCCAGTAATAAATAGTGTCTTCCAAAATGTATTGTTGGACTACTGTTGTCTATATGTAACAACTACAGCCTGAATAGTCATATTTAGATGTGATTACATTCCATATATCTGATGGGGTATTGACATATATTGCAATGCTTTAGTACATACAACCAAAAAAGGCTTTGTGATTTGACCCTGTGTGTGCATAAAGTCAGGCATAATAAGTTACTGTATGACACACACACTTAGGAGTGAGACAAGTGACATGTTGTGTATGGACCTCTGACAAACTGTGTTGATGAAAACAGTGGAACTGGATACTGGCCGAATGGCTGTGTCAGGGAATTGGCAGTGGACAACTCTCTGGCGTGATGACTGGAACTTTCTGTTGAAAGTGGGTGGCATCGTTCCCCCTGTGATGCATTTGACAGTTAAAACTGAAAGGCCTCTAGTTTGAAGGTGGTAAAACTTTCAGCTTTTAACACCCCTATGCTACTGCAGATTTTAGTGTGTTAAAGTGTGCGTAGATATTATTGAACATCTGTAATATTCAAGCCCTTGCTGAACAAGTTCACACAACGCTGCTGAAGTCGCTCACCGGCAGGTAAATCTCTATATTTCGCATTATAGAGTTTTTAAAAATGGATTCTGTGGCAACTTTCCCGCGCTGGAGCACCAGTATTCATTTTTTTTTTTACATAAATCAGCAATGCCGGTGTTTTAAACCAAAAGGAGCACATCTACTCACCAGTGGAAGAGGCCCAGTCCTCCAGCTTGCTGAAGTTTTAAAAAACTGACTACAACAAATCTATTTCCTCTTTATTTGAAGAACCTCTGACTAAACCGGCTAAATTTAAAAAATCTTTTGTCCACCTTTTAGCCTTCTGTCCACACTAATCTGGAGTTGCTGTTTTTGAAAACGGTCTACAGAGTGGAAGAATCTGGAAACCGACATTTTAGGAGAACTGAGCTTTTGACGTATGCCTGCTCAGTAAAAGTAAGAATAATAACTTTCTGTTGTCTTTGTTGTTCACCCTCAACTTTACGCTCATTCAGTTGTACAAATATGTAAAAACCATAATCCGTTTTCAAAATTAGCTGGCTTAGTGTGGATGTCTTCTAAGTTGACGGCAAATTGAACTGTAACAAAAACCAGGTGATTCAATTAATCTATTCCATATGAGAAATATACCAAAACCCTTGATAAAATAAAAACTGTCACTAAATGATCAAAAGTAAATCCATAAAAAAATAACTTATGATACGTTGCTGTATAACTACTGTACAATAGTTAGTGACAGAGAAATAATGATATAATATTATAGTGAGTGCATAAAGATTAAAGATTTCCCTTTCGAAACTAACATCAGCGTCTACACAGGAGGAGCAGCAGCTTCAGGATGCATTCAGGCGCACTATTGTGAGAGTGTAGGTCACCTGCGCTTTGGAAGCCCAACACATGATCACTGTAGTTACACAGAAAATAGATCTGAGGTGTAAAAATACCCTCGCATATAGCACGAGTGAAACCCAAGCCGTTACGCTGCCGCTGTTGACAGCCGCATTGATTCAAATCGATTAACACAGCTGGAACACCTCCTGTGTAGATACTCGGTGTTCATCTTTATAGGAATTATGTAAGGATTAAAACTACAAAACTATTTAAAATGACCAACTAAGGTCTGTAAAAATGTTGCGCTTAGTAAAAGTGTTTCCTGCGAGAATAATACTTTAACACACAAACTGAACCAGCAGATTGTGCTCAGACTGTATTTATCGAGTGTAAACCTCCATCTACCCAGATAATGGGAGGCGGCTACAGCTCACTGATGGTGAGTAACTCATCTCCAGCTGCCTTTATATAAAATTGTAATAACTTCAAATGAATGACACTCAATATTTCTAATGCAGGAGGAAATTGAACTTGTAAATAAGCCACGTCAGAACTGAAGTTGTGTAAATTTAAGGGTGCAGAAGTGACCTTTTTCTTTTTGAGAGGAAATTCCATTCAGTGTTCCCCTCTACCACACCTACTTACATAAACGGGATTTGTCTTTCTGTGTAGCCTGATTGAGCTCAATGACAAACTAGAATAACGGCATATTTAGCTCTAATGTACATTCATGATATCAGCAGTTAAATATGGCCGCTACATGAACAACCCACGCAGCTCATTATTTTTAATTAGCTCGACCTTTGCTGCCGTCGGTGCCAGCAAATCTAATGCTACCACCGTCAAACTAGAGGCCAGAGAGTCAAGGATGCCGACTGACATGCTACATAGAGCTACAGCTTGCATTAGAGTGTGGATAATTTAAGTTTGTGCATTAAATACAGGTAGAAGAGAATTCAGGATTTTAAAAGGATTGAGTGGGCAAACAAAACTCTTAAGGGGCTTTTTTCAGTTTTCATGGAATGTTTGGGATTCACATATCACTTTCTGTGTAACATAACGGACATATTTTCTCTGCAGGTTGCATCGTGTGTGGCCACCGACTTTAAATATTTGGAATTTATAGAGTACTCCTGCTGGCGGAGACATCACTGACATTCCCGGCAGTGGAAAACTATGGAATGATTGTGCTATAATCTTGTACAACTATTTAAGGAAAATCTTAAAAATCAGGGGAAAGTTTTCACCGTCTCAACTTGTGGGAACTGAAGGAATGCTTTACGTAGCTCAGCCCCAAAAAACGCTAGAAATTTGGAGCTTTAAGGTACTAGCAGCGATACGTCTGCACATCTGGGTAGTGTAGATTTTAAAAAAAGGGGGTTGAGGGGTTTGTTTTAGTATTTGAGATCACTCTTTGTAGGAGCAGGTAAGAGGACTGACAAGACGTCCCCTTCCAGAGCAGCAGTGACAGACGTCTGAGGACTAGAAAACAAAACATGTATGTGTGTGAGACTGTGTGTGTGCATGAGGAATAATTATCTACACAGATAAATGCATGTATGTTTGTGTTTGAGAATACCCCTGGTGTGTCAGATGGGTGCTGGTTTGGTCAGGGTGGGGTCGGTCTCCGAGAGCAGCTGAAGCCCGTGAAAGGCATGATGGGAGGAGACGGAGGGCAGAGCGTCTCTCCTGCTTTCATTTGGTCTTTAGTTTGCCCACCTCCCCGTTCAGCTTGCCCTCCTTTGCCAGCTTCTCGTTAAGTTGGCACAGTTGGCGAAGGAAGCCGTCGTTGGGACCGATTTCTCTCTTATGCCTCACGGTGGCCACCGCCAGCCGGGCATCCATTTTGTGGCGCAGCATGAGGTAAGCAACAACCATGGTAGGGGAGCGGCTGTAGCCTTCTCTGCAGTGAACATACACCTTCCCTGGAGGATGCAAACAGAGAAATGGAACAATAAGGTGAGTGTGTATGTGGTGCAAGGCTGGCTTTACAGAATCATAAAAAAAACCTATGCCCCAGAGAAATGCTGCACCTTATCATAAGTCATTTTAAAGGATAAGGCTGGCACTACTCTACGGTATCTTTGTCTTAAAACAAACAATGTGTTAGTCAATCTCTTAACCCCTAACACTCTGCCCTGTCAGTGGCTCCAAGCCTATTGGTTCCCTCTGAAGACCATAATGTAAGCATAACGTATAGAGATATGTAGCTCCAAGACTGTTGGCATCCATCACTCATGTTTTTCGATAACTGATTGTGCTTTTTGCCAACTCAGATCCAAACCCACGCCTCCCAACATACTGCTCTGCTAGCAACTACGACCTGCGAGCTAACAGTGTCTTATATGTTTGGCATGTTAGCTCATCCTAAATCCAGAAAAGAAATGGGATTTGATATAAAAATTCGCAGATATGAGAAATAAAGGCCCATAAATCATTTTTAAATGTCAAGCCTAATGTGAAAAAACATATAAGACATTTGCTTTATGGTAGCCGCTTACTCTACTGTGGCTGAAGAACAATAAATGGAGCGGGAGAAGAAAAATGAGGTAAGAAAGAAGAAACAAATTAATAAAGAAAACAAACAAGGGTAAGAGTGGTTGGGGAACATATGCTGTGACCAAACTTGCCTAGCGAAGCATCTTCTGTGCCAGGAGATGCAAATACAAGACCTGACCTCTGCTGCAAAGTCAATCATCTTCCCTGGAATCATCTTACAGCGAACAAAGACTCTGTGCCGTCTGCATGTACAGAACACAGGAAGGTTTCCTGAACTGTATTTGTTAAATGTGTAGCTATTTGCATATGCGTAAATCACGACTTGTTTGTGTTTGCCTTCTTAGTCTCTATCTGCCTTACACTTTCATTACTGACAAGCCAAAACCCCACGAGGAATGTAACTTGGCAACGTTCGCGGAGCAGCTGATGTGCTGGGCTCAGGTCAGATCTGCAGATTCTGCACTTTATTTGAAACCCAACACCTCTCTGTGTCCCTCTCCCAGTATTATCCACAGCATCTCTCACCCCTCCTCTCCCCTCTGTTGTATAATCTCCGTCTATCCTCTCCTCCTCTATTCTCCCCCCAGAACAGCCCACTGCCAATGAAATGACCTCTTCAATATCCAGTCGCCCTGCCTGCCACAGATCAATGTTGATTCTGCTGTATCCTCTTGTTAGACATGCAGGATCCTCTGGCTTACCCCGTCACTCATCTGCTAGTAGGGCTGTCACGTCTTATTAAAAGTGTGAATTTTTTATACAAACGTGGAAAAATACAAAATATTCAAACTGCAATGACCTGTTCAAAGTCAAGATTTACAGTCTATAGTGGTTTACCTTATGGTTTAGCAGAGGACAGTCTTAAATTTCACTCAATTTCAATCAGTTATATAGCTTATGTTTTGCAGACCCACAGATTTAACATGAGTTAGCTACAGAGTAAATTTGACAATGACAGTTGACATTGTAGCTACTGAAATTAATCCTACAGGCTCTTGATAAACTGTTAAACTATGTTAGAATTAAAAGCGCCCCGGTAGCCCACCTGGTAGAGCCTGAGCCCCACTAAGGCTGCGTCCTCCTTACCACTGCGACCTGGGTTCGATTCCAGCCTACGGCCCTTTTGCTGCATGTTGTCCCCCCTTCTCCCTACCCCTTTTCCTGTCTGTCTCAAAAGCCCAAAAGAATAATCTATAAATAAAATTGCAGCTCTAGCTATTCGAAAATCGAGACGTTCAAAACAGCTCTATAGAGCTGAGGAAAACTGCAGGGTCAGGTGATAACTCTCTTCATGTTCATCACTAAGACCAACACCTTTCACCTTAGTCGTTGATCTATATAACAAAATATTGATTATTGCAGCTTGAACATGCTGCTAATTTTGTGGGTAGTTTATAATATTCAGATAACGTACAGTACCACGGTGTCGTCATTACGGCAGACACATGGGAGCAATGCATCGATTAAAATCCAGGACCTATGACCTTTTCAGAGCTCACAGCTAGCAGTCACAAAATGTCAAAGACAATGTTGCACATAGCACAATGTCAGACTACAGCAATAGCAGGCGGCGGGCAGAGGTGAAACACTTTATCCTATTTCTGCTCCTTTTATCTCTCCTCCTCCCTCATCCTCCTCCGCCCTCCTCCCCCCTACAGTCCTTGTTACAGTAGCTCTTCACTCCTGATTTACCACGGCGTTGGTGCTCCTTTGCCAAACTGCCCGGGAATTAAGATGCTTTTCTGTGTCCAGGCTGACAATAAATCCATGCCATGAAATACAGGGTTCAGCACACTAATTAAACACATCCCTCATGTGACAAATTAACTAAATTTAGTTGCCACTTTGGGAGAGCTGGGGAAAGATCTTTTTTTGGTTGGGGTGGGGGAGAGCCGAGGCCTTCTGGGATTGATTGTTTCGATTGATTGCTTCAATCTAAATATTCTGCTTTCCCAACATGTTACAATACAGTACACTTGACCTAGTAGGTATATAAAATGGCTCATTTAAGACTTCCTATTAGTTTCACACATCTTCACTCTGTTACCCAGTACAAATGTGTCATAGTATCTGTTTAACAAGTGCTACAGGTGTGTTATGCACGGAACATTTTGACAATGTTGACGTCCAGGGACATGATCTGATAATGGAATATGGAGCAGGGCTCAGGAGTGTGTCAGATTTAGCCTCGAGATGATCGGGGCCGTCACGATTATCTCCTGTCTTCACTTGAAGATCCAAAGCAATGAAGACTGTTGAGATCGAGTCATTAAAAAAAGATGCCTTGAATCTTGTATCCTTTGTTAGACAGGCAACATAAGGAGCGTGGTTTTGTGTCTCAACTTGTAGAGACGCTTTCAAGTGGGAACTATGGAAGTCAGAAAGACACTGTGTTCGTCTTTGATCTCTACCTTAGAAGGGTTTCGTTGGGACATGAACCCTCAATATCCAATAATCATATAATATAATCATTTTCACAATAATATTGTTACTAAAACACCATCATTAACTTTCCAGCAGTGGAATCTACCAGTCATACTGTAAGAGCGATGCTGATGTGAAGATGCACGAAAATGCTGCTTTATTAGAACATTTCCGGCTTTGCATTTAAAAACCTTTTGTCCAAGAATCTGCAATCACGCATAGAGACAATCTCACATTACTTCAACTGTGCTGGAGAAACAATGTAAAGTGGGGGCAGCAGAAAGACGCTGGAAGCACAGCATTTGTTAGCAGACAGTTACATATCAGTCAGTTAGGCAGCAAGATTATTATTCATTTAGATTGGTGTTTCTGGCCAATGCAAGTTCAATATTCATTCTCCTTCTACAGGGTTCCCATGGGTCCTGGGAAATCTGGAAAACCTGGACATTTAGAGACTAGTTTTCTAGTCATGGAAAAACCTGGAGATTGACCAAAGCAGCAGCCGTGGCAGTGTGTCTCTTTCTGCAACTCAACTGGTCATCTGAGGCGATAACTGTGCTCGTATTTCAGCACACACCAGTCAGGACTTCACTCAATGAGTAGGAGAGACAAAGCAATGTGTGTGTGTGTGTGTGTGTGTGTGTGTGTGTGTGTGTGTGTGTGTGTGTGTTGGCATTTATCACATTCTG